CGGCACCAAGCACAAGCTCATTGTGAATACAGGAAGTACGAAATCTATAATTTCTACCATAGTGCTTCAATCCATCTGTCCTAGTTCGTCAAACCACTGTGCAGATTATTGGCATCACGGGTCACAAACTCCCATTGGTGTGAGGTGGGGTGTGTGGGTCGTAATTGGTTCTATCAGCAAACGAAATGGCTTCAGTCCTTTTCGATTTGGGTCCGGACGCTCTGCGACAGTTGACGCAACCTGTCATTGCAGTCCTGCTAACTACCGACTGTCCTTATCCAGCGACGGAAACTAATCACGAATAGTCCCAATAATGTTGGAAGTACGTGCATACAAACCTCCAGATTGAAGTTACTGGTCGCCAACAGTTACGCGCAATGTCACATTGGTCTTGCTCGCACGATGCGGCAAAGAATTTGGAGAGAACGGTTCACAATGCTATTTCATCGACTAGCCAGAAGACGATGTCAGAATTTGGAGAACTATTGAAAAATGTCCCACTGAACGCCGTGAACCTCAAAACCAAACAAAGATCGTTTAATCCGCCCAACACGAGAACATTGCGATCATCAGTACAATGTGATGCTTCGACGGAAGATCCAGCAGATCACCGACACCAAACCAACCAAATATCTTCAGATGAGTCTGCCAGTTCGAACGAAGAGCTCACTGATCCAGTATCTTCAAATGCAGAAATTCGAAACCAGCAATTCAGTGCTCCTGAAATACCCAAGGGGGAGATTACTCCGCTGGCACTAAGAAACTCAATCCCAAGAGAAAGCTAATTCGAAGATGTTCTTACAAGCGAGGAAAGTTGTGGTGATCCCAGCCGGCGAGATGACGCATACCATTGAAAGACATGTTACAGTTTGCGGAAAACCGTGAACAATCAAACTTCACAGGTGACGTTAGCAGAGCACGTAAATGTCACAGCTTCTGGACAACAAACCATAGGTCGATTATACCAACCAAGCAGAAACCTTGCAGCACAGACATAAGCTCAACAACGCCAGAAATACTAGCACGCGATTGGTAGAGGCTTGGATTGCTGCACATGTGCCTGCGGCTTAAGTGCGTACGTTCTGCCAACCTGCGCATCGTTAATTTGCTCGCTCCACAGATGTTATCGATTGATATCCACTCAGGTCGATCAACCTCATGCACTTGCCTATGCCGATACTGCTGGCCGAAATGGGCCCGATTCTGATTGGCTGTTAGTTCCATTGCAGCATTGTTGCACATACGTTTGACACGACTGATTAAGAACGAGTCATAATAAATCATCTTACGTACTGCGTACTGTTGTTCTACTTTGCTAGCGGGCTACGTGTCCGAGACTACACTGTTTGAAATCCAAACCTAGACAACTGAGTAATTAACCGGTCGATTGTCTTAGCCGACGTTTATATTTTCCGCTTCTTGTCTCTCAGAGAAAATGCCTCCAACTTTCAAAAACCTTTTCCGTAAATCTTTTGAGTGATCTTGATCGCTCGCTGTGTATCATCCGTAGTGGCTTCCAACTTGTGGAAAGCCTTTTCTTTGCCGAACAAACATAGTGAGCTTCCCGACAAGGCTAAATGTTCATTTGAATGGTTTTTGTCAATAGTATCGGCCTATTTCCCCTATCTGCCATTTCCCTCTTGGGTCTCTCGACCAAGTTAGGATTAAAATTTATGTACAGCAAATTCAAACAAACAGCTTTTGCGCAAAGTCGCGAGTTCAAAAAAAGGATATGACAATTTAACCCCGAGGACCAAAAGAAACTCAGCTTTATGACCTCTCAAATAGATTTCATTGTGTTCCACCACCCTAATCCTTTCACCTGTTGCGACCACCTAAAACACTATTTAAGCTCTTGACATGCAATTTGCGCCCCATGAGAGACACCATGCATTCGCTGTGATCGTATCTCATCTTCACATCTGAGACAGTTACGTAGAAGCCAGAAAAGAGTATACAACGGCAACGATTATCTCCTGCAAAAGAGGACCTGGTACACCAGTGGACGTTGAGGAAGTAAATCGAAAATATAATAAAGAAACTCGAAACGGGGGCAAGGGGCCATCCACCGGCAGAACAAACACCTGCCTCAGCGTTACAGAATCCTTTGCTATTCAACAAGAGGATATTTGGAACTGGTTCTGGATTCTCGAGCCCGACAAATCACCTCGGTTCCGACAGACTGGATGGTTTAACCAGAGCTCCAAAAACGGAGATATAACTGACTGTTGCAGATCTGCCTAAGACAGAAACCTCAAAATCCCATCCCATTGCATCTTCTTATATTTTTATTTCACTTCCTTTTATTGAATATACAAAGATACAAAGATTTTCAGGTAAGGGGGAAGCGGCCAATCAACCGGGGCTGCCATACAACACACAAGATGGAAAGTCAGGCGGTGGTGGTGGGATTCGAACACACATCCCCGGGGTGATAATTTGGTGACGTTACCACCGGGCCACCGCCGCCCATGCATGTCGATCTGTTGTGTTGAAGCTACTTTATCAGGGAGTGTAATCTCGATTGAACGTGCTGCCCCCCCTCCAAAAAAAAATGTTCCGTACTGTGGCTCCCGCTCCACCAAAAAAATCACAGATCCTCTGGTTCACTTTATTCTATCGGTGCTCGATGGAAGCAAGAAAGCTGTCAGAAAATGTTTCTCGAATTTTAGTGAAACCTGTAATTGCGTTTATTGATCAGTCGTTCATAGATATTGTGTCTTTCAGTTGGATAACAAACACACTGTCACATTCACAGACTATTTGACAAATCGTTCAGTGTTCATAAAACCTTCAGTCTACACTAGGTACAATCCTGTCCCAGTCTCTCTTTTCCACTTATACTTCACCTATGCCTGCCTATCCAACTAAATTCCTCGGTCACGAAATACACAGATGATGTTGCGTTTGGAATCATCCACCCAAAAGCATTTGTAATTTCCGTCGTTCAGTTTTGCCATTTTAACCTTGCTGAGTTGGTTAACTACACACACACACACACACACACACACACACACACACACACACACACACACACACAAATTAACGAGACCCACATTGTGTTCGGATTCCCGTTTTTGGTGTCCGCCACATTTTAACCCGTCGTTTAGTTTCTAAGGTCGCAGGCCTGACAACTGAATCATCAGTTCTATGGTCTCGTTTTGGTGGTGCACTCTCTCTCTCTCAACCTGGGTCGCATGTCAAGTCGGCAAGAATGATCATGAACCGGAACAGATATCCATCTTCCTCGAAGAACTCTCGTTCGAATGTGGCTTAGTTCAGCTGGGATTAATTTTTGGCTCGGTTATATCTTAAAGCAGCAGCTGTTTAGTCGTTTCCAACGGACAATTTACTGCAAAAGTGACAAATACTTCTTCCCCAAATGCTTTCCCGGTTTCAATGGATCACGTACAAGCTGATAGCATTCTCCCTCGAGTACCGTTTCGACCGTAAAGAGTTGAACGTGAACTTCAGCAGCTCCAAAAATTCGGTGGTAAAGAGAAACAGCATTCAGAGCTAGAAATCCACATACTATGTGCTATGGATTTGGGTTTGAGACTCAAGGCCCCAGTGAACAACACAACCTGGATGCGTATTCTACAACAATTTGGCATAGCTATTAAAGTGACCCATCACTGTATTGTGCATCCTGTTAGAACGGAGCTTAATCAACCTGTCCGATCGCGCACGTCTCCGAGTCAGGCCAAATGAACGTTGACAAAGCTCCAGACAAGCTGAGCCCGATTGGAACGAATCAGTCAATGTTTGTCCAATCGATTAATCGATGTCATGGACGCAATCTGATTGATTGGTGCATCAGTGCGCTGTTCTCGTATGCATGATTTGTTCTATATACTTGTGTAAAGAATAAAAAAAAATACACTCTGGCATTGTCTCCAGCTGTGTTCTCTCTCCCCGTTGTTGTTGGAGCTTAAGCAAAAGTCGCTCGTGTCATTCGTACGTCTAGTCTGAACACAACGCATTCAACATCGCCAGGTCGCAGTTAAAGCTCGATGAGTAAACTCAGTATCCATGCCGGTGGAGAGAGAACCGCTCCATACTTGAAGCACACCGAATATTCCACGAGTTAACTGCAAAATTTAAGACTTATGTTCCCAGCTTTTCGACCTGGGTAAAGACACAAACAGCAGCGCGCATGTTGTCCAGTGGCTCTCCATTTTATCACCCATTTGAAAATGGTGAGTTCAAGCATTCGCTCTGTGTTCGCCAGGATTTCGAACGTCAGATGTACTCATAATTCATCCAAAGATGAAAAATCAGGTTGAATTCGAATGTTTTGAGAATTCGTTCGGGGAGTCTGATGACTTTAAACAATCCTAACCGGATCCAGTACTGCCCAGAAAGACGGGAGATGGTATCCCGTGCCCAAAACCTATCTCGATCAATAAGTCCAAGTCGTTGAACATTGATGACAGATCGATTGGACGTTGTTTTCCGAGAAGATTCCTATCAATGCGTCTGAAAACAATACCGTTCCTAGAATAACCATGGGAGTTTTTCTAGTTCTGTAAGCGAGTGATGGTTTCGGTTGAATGAGCCAATGCAACAGAGTTATTGCTATACATTAAAATTGCACGTGTTGAAGAACTGATGAACAGAGGTGCCAGTCCCTGTGATTGGAATTGTTTACAGATAAGAAACAAGTAAATCGTTGATTGGTCAATCTGTTCGATTCGCATTAACTAGGAACCGAACACCCAGGGGTAACTGATTTCTCTCTCTCTCTCTCTGTGTCATTAATAACCTTCCAGGTAGCAACCAAAAGAGACTTACATGCCCTGTAGCGTACGTACGCAATATGTTTTATTCGAAGTAAAAAAGCTATGTGAATGAGTCTGTGGATTGACTACTGCGAGATAATGAACTTGTGGATAACAAAGCTGAACAAATGACCGCGGTTATAATGCTGAGACTGTGTCTACGAATGTTGTGCATATGATGGAGCGAGTATATAAATATGTGTATGTATACCAATTCGGTCACCACAAATTACTCACTTTGCCCGTTCCACCGGCACTATTTCTCATGCGATTTGGTGTACCGGGTGAGGCTAGTCGACCACCGGTTAACAGAAACGGAGCAGTAGTGGGACGATTCGTCCCCGGGACTAGATCCACTGGGAGTGATGGGAGTGGACCGGTGCGAAACAATGCTCCAAATCCGTACTGCATTGGTCCCGGATACGAATGGGACTGGATTGGACCTCGGTCGTCCGCAGCCGGACATCCGGCGTGCCACGACCGGGACACATCGGACGGACCAGGACGTTTGCCTCGTCGTGAATGTGACGGTTCCGGATCGGGGTCCGTTGAACGATTGGTCCATGCTTGCGAAAGGAACTGTCTGGGTGAATTGGTTGAAGTCATTCAGTCTATTTGTTGATACGCAGCGCGTTCATCTGTGAAAAATCAGAAGAGGGGTGTGGATAAATGATGAATAAAAACTTTATTTAGAGAAGAACTACGGATGAAGTAACTTGTCAACCGAAAAATTGCATCGCTTATACGTAACTGAATCTGACAACCAGCTTCTTACTTGATTTTGCTCAATAAAATTCGAAGGACAGTTATCGATTCAATATTTTAAACGAGTCTGATAAACGTCTGGGTGTCAAGCGGACGACATCTGCGGGACGAACGGCATCATGTTGACACGGAGCTAAAACTCACGATTCACTGGATTACGTTCCGAGTTTGACGAGAAAACAAATTTACATTTATACTCATTTTGATCAGACCAAAGAATTCAGATTAATGAGATATGTGAATTACGTACACAAAAATATCTCCACTGAAAGCATTTAATTCAGTACCTGCCAACCAGTGCCAATATTGTAGTTCCTTCTAGAAGGCCAAGCACGCGATGTGTACAGATCTTTCTTCAAGACAAGCATAACTTCCGCATGAGTGATTTGATTCACTTCACTATGATTTCAGCGCGAGATTATGGGTCATAAAATGAGAACGCCTTATTTACCAAATTCTTCTAAACCATCTCTGTTCATCCAACCCCCCTCTCCTCCCTGCCCGCTCCCCGACCAGGTCCGTCAAATAGCAACACGGCCAGAACGACGGACATCAATTGTGAGCTGGTTACTTGAGCCTCCTGAGACCCGGCAACCGTGCGGATGTTGACGTCCATTGTGCACATAACACATATTCCGGTCCTCGTTGGCCATCACCTAGCTGGCTGGCCTCATTCATTACCCAAAGCCATGTGAACGGGGCCATTCGAGCTTAAATCTGAGCTGACTGGGGGACTGACCGGCTGACGGACTGTCTGGAGAACAACGCACAGACAAATGGGAGGGGAACAAGCGAACACACACACACTGTTGCAATCTGGATGTATGACACACGCCACCTGGCGCCATAGCAACATGAGAAATGGGGAATTGGTTGGTGTTAACGGGGTGGTGAATGGCTATGTGGAAAGACGGGGAAAATGAACAATAATGTGGTGGGTGGTACCGGAGACTTGTCACGTAGAAAAATGAACAAAAAAGCCGGTTTCATAAAGTACCTTTCCTGCGCCAAAATATATGATGAAGCTATTCATCCATTCATTCATTCATTCACTGACCGAGTCGATCAATCAACCATACGCGCATGGCAAGCAAGAGAGAGAGAGGCCAGTCAGTGACACACACATGGGGTGTGGATGCTCGCGCTGACAGATAACCACAGATACGGCAATAGCAACAAGGACAGAAGCAGAAGAACAAGAACACTCAATTGATGATTCGTTGCCTGTTCCCGGGACACATACACCACAACCACCCGCCCAATCTGATTTAGACAATGCACAATCAGTGAAGAAGGCTCGGATGTGATTTATCTTCGTCAGTCTGCAACTACGCCAAATTTGACAAGTGGCGAATATGGCTCTCATTGAGACGGAGCAAAGAAGCTAGGTGAATTCAAGCTGTCTGTGCGAGTGTATCGGGACGGGGGAGGGAGCCAACTGTGTACTGTCGAATGAACAGTGCTCAGTTCCGTAGCGGGCGGAACGCTTTTCTTGCAAATTCAGTATTCTACAATGTTCACTTGTGATAACAGCCTTTAGACCGAAACGAAAATTGAACCGTTTGGGACTTCTTTAAAGCATCATAATAAAGCACCTAACGATTATCTTGTTCCGGTACTTTCCAACTGTCTCCAAACTCAAGATTAGCTAATCATCACAAGTTAATCAATCCTACATGGTGTGTGAACAAACGGAAGGTTTTGGTCGGCTGCGGTCAGTGATCAATTTGTGTAACGCTCGGGCTTCGATCCTCAGTTGGGTAGATCGATTCGCACAAATGATGTTAACCAACACGGTCAAATCAGTTGCTCAGTATCTCATTATGTTTTTTTTAATTTACGTTTCTTTTTCACGGTTCACGGTTCCACTCTTTCGTCAATCATATGAAGCACAGCCACGTAACAAGTATCACCCGAACCTGAAAAGCCCATAATTCGTCGCATCGAATGGGGTTTATCGGCATGTGAGATCAGCAACAGGTACGAGTGATGCCCTCAGTGATCGAGGCACATGTTACGGTCGACTTTTGCCTATTACGAACGCAATGTGAATCTTCCAAAGTTGTGCGATCTCAGTCAAGAATCTCCTTACTATTCTATACCTGTTATTGTCCACAGAAAAAACAACGATATACAATTAATCCCGTCCCGGATACACACCAGATTAAGCCCAATCATGGAGAGCAGCTGACCACCATCTTGATACTCTAATAGGTCATCTTTGTTACGGGGAATTCATTATAGGAAACTGCACAAACAAATGGGAAATACAAGTAAAAACAAAGGTGAAATGGGCAGTTAGATCTCAAATCAGGCGGATTGTCGAATCGTGTAACTGATAGCAGCTCATTCTCCTCGGATCGCGGGTGACTGGTCTTTCATGAAACGTTTCGATTGTTTTGCATCGGTTTAATGATTATCTTGTCAATCGATTACTCGAAATGTCAAATAACCTGTTCTAGTTCAGCGAATTGTACAGTATTTCTAGCTTCAATTTTGTACCAAACTGTTTGTAAACTATCTACCCAACAGCTCATGTTGTGTTTTTCATCGTACCAAACCATACTACTTTTGGTTCTTTATATGTCATCGGTCAGACAAACTGGTAGCCGCCCATCGATCAAGCCTGAAGCAATGAGACACTAGGGTTAATTTGTGCTGACCTTCAGCAGATGAAGAGATACGACATCTCTATGTAAATCAAAAGTCTGAGAAGTAAAAACCATTGTGCAGAANAGAAAGACAGAGTTTGGGAGTATCTAGCAGAAAATGATTTCTATCCCATGGATAAAGTCATCGGGGCCGTTGGACGAAATCTATCTTGTGGATATCAAACGGACTGTCACGTCATCGATCCCGAGGTGATTTAACTCAATGCATATGACGATAGAATTCGTTGCATCACTGCCTATCTCATTTTGTCAAGTGTATCTATACGGTGATACCATACCAAGGTAGTTCGAATGTTTCGCATATAACTAGCCAGCACGGTTGATGAAGCGCAGTTGAACCAATTCACAATCAGACCAGGAAGAAGGTGATTCACCGAGCATAATGAAAAACCGCTGTACAAATAGAGAGACAAAGAAAAAGGGATTCATGTACAGAAATAATCGGAAATTTTAACCATTCACTGTGAAATGGGGAACGTGTACACATGGCGTGTTGTGGCTGTTTAACCTTCTAAAAACCCACAAAGACAGTCAGACAGGGAAAAACAACGGGAGATGGACAAAGAAATGCGAAGACTCCTCTCGTTATCTGACCTGAAAATGTCAGAAAGACATTGGGAAAGATACAAACGGGAACGGAAACCCGTTAAGTATGATACATTCGACAAACTCATCGTCGAGACATTCACCTCCGTTCCCAAACCACACCAACATCGTAACCACCACCCGAGCCCGCGCGATTCGATACCTAATAATGGGATTAGAACACACCGGTCGGATGAGTCATCGTGAGGTCACGTGCTTGTTTATGCTTATAAGCGGGATAGATAAGCTCATGAAATAACATGTGTTGAGATTATACTGAGCATGGACAAGAGAGGGAGGGAAGTAGGAGACCAGAGGCTACGAGAATGAACAGCAAAGCAGATTCATGTAGTTCTCATGTAGACAGACTTAGCCCCCCCCCCACACTATCAGTACTATCCCCTGTGCCGATCTATCCTCTCTAAATAGTCATGCTCAAACAGATGTGAACCGAATATGGTTTGTGATAAATGGAAGTCCAGACATGATAGATGTTGCATGATGATGACAAACGAGACAAATGACCTCCGCCCGTCCCCTCACCCCCAAGCCCAGGTAACCTTGGTCGAATATCACGTTCTCTGAAATAGCAGTGTGCAAGCCGCGCGAACACTTGTACCCATAGAGGCAACCGTGGCGATTAAGTATTTTCGAAGAGTCTGAGCGCCAGGTTCATGTATCAAATAGATACACAATATTATTGTTAACAGGCATGTTTCTCATGAAGTGGGCAACATGGATGGTTGAGTGTTTATAATTTCCGAAAAATACATAGAAAGCTGGATGGACAAAACTTATCAGCATGGCTAGTCGTCTGGTGCTCCAGCACATCTGCAGCTAACGAATGTCGATAAATTAATTTCAGAGGTTTTCCAGTCGTCTGTGTGATGGCGCAATGGTTTAGTGGCTGTCACCGGAGTGCTTTGGGGCCTGTCGTTCGAGGTTCAAGCCCCGCCACCGCCCAACAACTTTGGTGGTAGGCCGCTTTGCTGTCATCCGGTTCAATACCAAGCCTAAACTATGGGGGCCTTATGGGGTTCGTCGCTCCATGACCCTGGGCTTAAATTATCTATTTATATCACCGAACGGCAGGTCCTCGTGACTATAGGGTTTACCCCGTCTGTTATTCATCACACTAAAAAGTGTGATAAAAAAAATAAAACTGCATGAAAATCCGGCAACTTGTGACGACTGTTCGGTATGTAAGCAACAGCGAAATAACATCCAAGAATCAGTGTTTGGAGCTCTGGTTGGGCATGATTTTTCATTGAGTTTCAGCACACAAGAAAAGACTGCTTCAAGCTGGATATGCCCACAGGAAACCACTCAAAATTTGTTCCGGTCTCACGGATTCCTCGTGCCAGAGAGACATACCGAATGCGATTATTCTCCAACCACGTGCTCGGCAGACTTAACCCAACCGGGTGCATGTGGACACGTACCGACCCATTTTACTAGCCGACACTTCAGTTTGTACTTGATTTATTGATCTCGCTACCCTGGATGTTCGACCGGTTTGTAGCCACGACAGTGTGACAAGCGGGCGGAGTAGCGTACCGGGAGGGGNTTCGTGTATCGGAGCGC